CGTAGACCACCAACCTGTATCTTCTGGATATGTAACGGTTGACTGTTTTCTGTTTTTACTGAGATGTAAGTGTCCAAAAGAGTATCAATAGTAGTTTGCTTTGATCTTTTGCAAACTGCTTGCATGAGCTTTGAATACTGTATATGTTATATGTAAAATGAACATTTTTATTACGTAATCTATTCTTAGGGCGAAACAATTTTAAAATTGTTTCCAAGTATCCCTATCGTCTAGGAGAGTGATGAGTGTTATAGCCACATTCCTCCAAATGTTACCAAAATATATTTATCAGAGCAATTTCTATATATAAATAAAATAGCAATGAATAGGGTATACTTCATTGGCTGGTCGAAAAATGATTACCTTTTTTTTTTCCAGAGCATTTGGACACTGCATGCTGGATGAGCTTTACGTTTACGTCCCTCTAATTTTTGCAGCCTGGTCCATTTATTTTTAAAGGTGCCTTAACTTGAATAAACCGTTGGGAAAATTTGTGGAGAAGCCTTATCATATAATGTCAGTCCATCTCATTCTGTTGTTACCAATAACATCTCTTATACAAAATGTAATGGTTACATACTTTTACTGATTAGTGATGGCGGTTTATACACTCATAATGTTGAGAAAATGCAGTGATGATATAATAAACAGATTCATTATGAAATTTAAAAGATTTTTTTTGTTTGTTTTTACAAAAACCTTTCAAGCTGTAACAGATTTCAATCATTAAAGTATACTTGCATTATAATACGGTTAAAGCTATTAAAATATAGAAATGAAAACCACAGTATATCCTTTTATTCGGAAGCTTCCACACATTAAGGTCATCCTTCTATTTGAATTTTTGAGTGGTACAAATGATTAGGCTTGGCTATTCATTTTATTTTGCTATATTATATAGCTGCTTTGTTGTGTAAAGGTAAAAATCTGGTATAATATCTGGACATTTCAATTGTTTGCACTTACATTTATTCAAGTAGCAGACGCTTTTATCCAAAGCAATTTATAATTGATGAATGCAACAAGAAATTCTTCATAAAGAGGCAAATAAACACAGGAAGTGCTATTAATACAACATTTCAGACATTCAGATTAGTACACGCTAGAACTGGGAGGGACTACGGAAAAGTGAAAGCAAAGTTTTTTTTAATTATTATTAATATTATTATGCATGGGATGCAATCAAATGTTGACAAGAGACTGAATATTGAACATAGTCAGGGATTGAGCATTCTGGATGGGGATAGGAATATCATTCCACCAGCAAGGAACGGTGAACAAAAATGCTCTGGAAAGTGACTTTGTGCCACTCTGTGGTACCATCAGAACGCTCTGAATAGAAGATAATACATTGTGAAAAAGCAGTTTGCAGTAATAGCTATTGCAGCAGTGTTCACCTGTTCACACTGACAGATCCACTAGGTGTTTCTATTAATAAGGAGAAAAGTATCAAGTCCAATTAAATTGTTTTTACAATTTGAATTGAATTATGAGAAAACTATTTTAAATAGTTTTAATTAATCATTAAAAACTGAAATAAAAGAAAATATTTTTGATTAAAATGTAACTAAATTTCAATGAAAATGAGAAATGTTGACTTGGCGACTAACTGAAATAAAATAACTTGAAGTAGCATTGCTAAAAACAAAACTGAATACATATTTAAAAATGACAAATATATATTATAAAAAATAATTTTAAATAAAAAATGTAAATGACAAGCACATAACAAAATTACTAAAACTTAAACTGAAAACTTAAAAGCTCATTCAAAATATTAAATACTACAATAGTATACAAATATGATTAAAATAAAACCGGTACTTTTAACTAATTCAGATGATAAAAGTGGCTCAGGGCTGCCTTTCCCAAAAGCATCGTAATCCTAAATTGATCGTAGCTCCATTGGTGGCAATGGGTCTACGATGTTCTTAGGCTTACGATGCTTTTGGGAAACGCAGCCCAGACTAGTTAGGATATTTTTTACAAAAAGGTGATTTCCAAGGTGATAACTATATGTCACTTCATTAAATGTGCAATAAAAGCGGTCCACATAAGGATCCTTGACAGGCAGTAGCATTCAGAGATAGAGTTGAGGATGTTGGGATGATTCATTGTTGCTCACTTATTCAAAGTTGATGATGAACATTTGAAGTCACTTTGATATTGCAGAGCTCTATTTTACAAAGATCATTCTCACGTGCTCCTCTCTTTTCTGAGCATGACAAGACAGCAGTGGTGATATCATCCTGCTTCTATCTCTTTTGCCCATAATGCAGGGCTTCTTAGAACTGCCACAATGGAGGTCTTCTTTACGTGTAAAGGAACTATAGACTGAACAAATGTTGCATATCTGCACATGCCTTCACAACAAAACTGGGGATGATGTGACAGCCCGGAGCCTTTAGTAAGTATGATCAGATTTCTGGGTCAATGGTACTGTCCTGAACAAATGAACAAAAGTTGTCAGGAAGCAGTCATGACAGTTACTCTCATAGATAGCTCTTGTTTTACTGAGATCATAATATGGATTTAAATATCATTTCATGTGTCTGGAATTGAGAGCATCCGACCTAGCTCAGTGCCTGTTTCACCATTTACCCATGGTGCTAAGTTTGGCTATATGTGCATCTCATCGTAAATGTAGCCTGTAACACAATCCACAGACAGAATGATGTTTCCAGCAGCTACACAGAAAATAAAGAAGAGATCCCATTGAGGTAGCAATAAAGTTACTTAATATAGAATGTGATTTAGCTAAGCAGCACCGAATGTCTCGTAGAGCTGGTCATGCTGGTTGGCACTTGCCTTTTGTAGAAGGGTAGGGAGCAAGAGAACAGAATATATATCAAAGCATTAAAAAGCCTTATTGTATACACACACTACTGTTCAAAACTCGAGGCTCAATAAGATTTTTTAATGTTTTGATAAATATTCAGTAAAAACAGTAATATTGTGAAATATTACTACAATTACAAAAATAACATTGCAACTATTTTCTATTTTAATATATTTTAAAACGTAATATATTCCTGTGATGGCAAAGCGGAATTTTCAGGAGCCATTCCTCTAGTCTTCAGTGTCACATGATCGTTCAGATTTTTTTTTTTTTTGGAACCAGGGTTCAGAATTTCAAGACACGTTTTATAGATAAGATGGATGGATGGATGGATAGATAGATAGATAGATAGATAGATAGATAGATAGATAGATAGATAGATAGAAGTCAATTCAGTTTCAAGACATGTTTTATCTTAGATGGATGGATGGATGGATAGATAGATAGATAGATAGATAGATAGATAGATAGATAGATAGATAGATAGATAGATAGAAGTCAATTCCGTTTCAAGACATGTTTTATCTAAGATAGATAGATAGATAGATAGATAGATAGACAGATAGATAGATGGATAGAAGTCAATTCCGTTTCAAGACATGTTTTATATAAGATGGATGGATGGATGGATAGATAGATAGATAGATATGTAGCGTCTCGACCAATCTGACACACTAATTTTAATTT